CTAGATATGGATGTAAATTAGATTACATCAACATTAGGATTTAATTTATTTAATCTCTTAGTATTATCTTCATTTGGTAAAATCAATCTAAATAAAGGGTTATTATGCTATAAATAGGTCTTTTTATTTCATTTGTAAATACACACTTGAATACGATCTTTTTACTCTCTTTAAATACTTTTTCTCCTTCTAAATACTTTTTTTTATATTTTTCTTATAATTATTCTCTTAAGATTTATTTCATAACAAAATATATATTTTTAAGTATTTATGTTCTTTGTCTCATAAACCTTACTCATTCTTAAACTTTGAATTTGAAAATTTAAATTATTACCGTTGAAGTTTTCTCTTTAAAAAATTAGAATATGATTTTATTAAATACTGTATATATATGGTTTAAGATATTATTAATTTTAAACAATACCACTTTCTCATTTAACTCATTGCTTTTTGTCCAATTTAAAAAGAAGCGTTACATTAATTATTATTATTTTTTGCTTTTCAAAAAAAATATTATTATTTTTCTTCTATATATATCATCTTAATTTATGTCAAACATTTCCCAATGAATATTTATATAATCATAGAAAAATAAAGTGCATATAATGGCTAGTAGGAGTGAGCATAGAGGGAATCCTCCTAACCTTTACCATGAACCTTGATATTATCCCAGAAAGGATACATTAATTTTCCAAAGAAGCTGCTTTAGTGTACAAGTGGCAAGTCAAGTGTAGGTCTAAGTTGACAGCAAGTTAGGAAGTTAGATTGCATGGTGCATAAAGTATCTTCAGACAAGACTCGGAGAAGAAAACTGCGAACAGCTCAACATTTTTAAAATTCTTACATCATATCAAAGATTCAGGGGCTTCTTTTCCTGGTAGAGGAGGAGCGGGGTGTGAACGTCTGCCAACTCACTGCAAATCTTTCTGTACTTTTAGTCAGACTCAGGTTTCTGATCAGTGAAAGCTAAGATTAGAGATCCTCTGATGGCAATGACAGTCAGACCAAGCCAAACGGATGCACTACACTCCATCTTTGTCTACTTTCAATGTGTACGTATCTAAAGTTTTGGCTGTATCTTTTCTTTGCACAATTTTGTTTTTTATGCTTTACAACTTGGAAATTTTATCACAAGAGTCCAAAAGGAAAACTGGCCTGCTAGCTTTGATTCTTTCAACTATTAATTTTGGTGGATTTCTTTCTTATTTTAGCATTAAAATTGCCACTGTTCACAAACAGTTTCAACATCTTCGAATCAACAATTTTTTTCCTCTCCTTTTTGCTTTTAAAAATTTTCAAACCCTTTTTAGTAAGAAATTGAGGTTGATTTGTTAATTATGTGACAGTTAGTGTTAATAATCACTTCACTCAGAACATGCCTCACAATTTAGCCATCCTCCACATATATTTAACTCTCTCCCTAATGATGCACACTCCATCGTTTCAGCTACATAATTATGTTATAATGTTTTAAGTTTTGTCTTCTCATGTCTTATCTCATGTTTTAATCAATAATCTTCAAAGTTATTAAATGTGTAATCTCCGTCATTGTCGCTACGAAAACATTTTAAGAATAATTTTATCATTATTTCCACCGTGACATAAAATTTTAAAAAATACACAAAAGGAATTAAGCTTTTCTTCTGTTCCTTGAGAGGCTAAGCTTTTGTTTTCTTTCTTTTAGTGATAGATTATGAGCAAACTCTCATGTTTTTTTTATCTTTTGATATGGGTTTGCAGTCTTGACCCTTTAGCTTTTGATGCTACGCTAATATTTGTAAGTAGCTGGCTCTTTTTGATAGATGTACAAATTCTCTCACTCTCACTGGTTCATTCATACCATTAAGATTGTTCTGCCTTTCAAGCTAGAAACTTAAAATGACATACAAGTGATGAGATTAATAAAAACTATATTTAAAAAAAAAAGTTTTCGTAAAAGCATAAAAGTAACAAAATATCTACTACCACCAAATGCCTAACCTTAGTGGACCACATACATAAAAAAATTATTAATTCCAATCTATTTTCTTTCCTTTTAGAAGCCTTACAAAATGAAACTCTGACACTTACCAAGTAAACAATGATCAGGCATGCCTTTAGCCGAGAAATTGAGGGACTATCTCACAAATATCTTCAACCTTTTCTCACCACAGATATAGAATGTGCCTCTCATCTTTCAAAGTAAATGTGTTACTCGTATTCTTGGTTGTACAACGATATCACCGATTCTTGCAATCAGTGATACATTTTTGTTTCCCATCCTAGTATAACCAGAGTCTCGTGCTTTGTAAGTTGTGAACAACTTCTTGAAAACACAGTGATATGTAGCATCAGTGTCGACCTAATTAATCATTTATGGCTTGGTTTACCAGCATATGGTTGAAATCATCATGTGTACAAACCGAAGAACTACTTCATCATGAGAATCCGTTGCTGCAACATTATTCTCATTTGAGTTCTTCTTGCTTTTTCCATCTTTCTGCTTTTGCTTCAAGACGATACAATTCTGCATAACATGACCAAGTTTGCCACAATAATGACACTTGTCATTATCCCTGGACTTGGACTTCTTGCGGCTTCTAATGTCAAGGCCGGTATTCTTGGTTTTGTTTGTATTCTCTATGATAATAGCTTTGATTAGTTTGGGATTCTGTATCTTTTCACCTGGCTTCTTCATTGAACATATTGTCTTTTCTTGATTGTCTTGCAAAAAACCTTAGAAGAAACAATGGTTGTAATTCATCATCCAGGTCAATTTTTCATAGTAGACAATTGATTCAACATATTTGGGAAATCACTTGAGTGCTTAAAGATATATTGTCCCTCGTATTTCAAATTAACAAGCTTTCAATCACAAAACCTTTAGTTTTAAGTAATATTCCTCTCATACAGTGTAATTAACTTTATCTAAATACTATAGACATTTGTCTCACTTATTATATGGTGAAAAAAACCGAGATCAACCCATTTTTTAATTACACCCGACATCTTTTTGCTTAATTTTTTCTAGTGTCATCAGACATGTTCTTTGACTTAGCTAAATCACCCAATACCAAAAAAAACCCTTACAGCATAGGAATTCTTCCATCAATGGCTTAGAAATTGAATAATTTGAAAATGTCAATTTCATCTGTAGAACGTGTATCAACCTCCATGATCCAAAGCAATAACTCCTTTTACCATTTGTTGGACCTCAAGCAAAACATCAATACAATATCACCATACCGTTTAAATATAAATTGCACAACTCAAGTATAAAATAATGACAAAATAATTAATCCAAGTCAATCACTAAATATACCTAAAAGAACCCTACAGTGGTAAAGAAAAAAAATCAACGACAAACTATCAAAATCAATGGTATAATGTTCTTGTCTAAATTTTATTTGCCAAACTTTAGAACAATTTGGAACAATGTCAAGAGTACATATATATATATATATAAATATATCTAGGGGTTCCCCTGCAAAATCTCACTACTTGGAGACTGAAACACATTAATTCTTTTGTGATTAATGCATTTCCCGATCACACTAGCAGACACTTGGTGTCTAAGTGTAAATCTCTTTTGTAGGTCCAAACTTTTTTTCTCTCTTCCCCTGCCCTTTGTGTGCAATTTTGGGTTATATTTGAGACATAAAGAAACCCTTTCTTTTGGTGACAAATCTTGACCATTGCATGTGTCAGGGGCCACGAGCCCAACAATAATTCCATGGATTCGGTCTATGAGATAATTACTTGACCTAGATTACGTACCTATAAAGGACGCTCGAAGCTGCCAAAGAGTACATGCCATCTACTCCAATTTCAATTAATCTCTTAAAAGGAGCAGTGAGTCATAATTACTGAAGCAAACTGAAGTGTTTTGGAGCTGTATCTTCACTGACGCATAGTAATAAGAAGGAAATGATATGTATTGGATTTTGCACCCAGAGAGATAATAGACATGAGCTGGGATAATTAGCACATCTTTCACTCACTTTCTCTTCAGTCTTCACTCTTTCTCAGGGTTGGCGTACTGTACTGTTCTCACTCTGCTTCTGATCCTCCCCACACCCAATCAATTGGTGCTCTGCCACCATTAGCCCCCATTAGTCGGCAGTAAACGCTGGATCGAGTAACTATCAGTAATATCTCACTCTCTCAAGTCTCACCGCGTCTTTCCAGGGCGACTACTTTTGAAAACCCTAGAAAAACCACTTCAAAGCTTTAAAATAAAATAGCCTTCATAGTTTGGTTGTAAGCTACAACTGTACTGCTACTTGATTATTCATGATGATCTACTTTTCCAATCTTACAGCTTTATGTTGAAACTAGGTTTATATAGTCTAGCTACTACTTGCATGAAATCAGGTTGGGAAAAAGGTCACCACACCCTCTCTCCACACTCAGCTAAGATAGGCCACGTACGTCAGTGAAAAGGACTAGTAGTGTCTTGGATTTTGTTTGCTTTCCAAAAGTTGTTCAGCAATTATGACTTGTATGCATTTTGGACTAGTACAATTCTTTCTTTTTTTATTTTTTTGAATCTTATCACTCAGATCTATTATTACAAGGCAAAGACTCAAGGAGAAATTATTAGAATCTCCTCCTCCCTCATGGGATTTGAGTGCAGCAGATGATTAACTTAAAATGAGCATTGTTTACTCAAACAGTGTAACATCAAAATTGCCTTAAAAAGAAACTAATTACCCAGTCTTGGAAGTGCAAACATAGACAAACAGATTAAGAGGGAGTAAACTCATAGTAAAAGATTCATTTCATCATGCAACAAGAAACCATCTGCCATCTCTCTGTGACTACATTCAAGAAAGCTAAATATTGCTGAAAATATACTCCAAAAAAAAAACCCACTATTTAGTCACTGTTTATATGCAAATCGTGCACTCCACCACCAAACTTGCTTGAATTAAAGATCACTCTCTATCTCTCTCAGTTCAACCCAAACAATAACCAAGAACCCAAAAGAAAAAGGAGGATAGTCATTCAAACAGGCAGAGAAGATTAATTTACCATAATATTTTTCAGTTTCTTTCCATGTATTCATATATATCTTCCTAGATTTAGACTACTTACAGCCCAGAGAGAAGCACTTTTCCTTTGCTTCCATGCACATGCAAAACAAAAAGTTTCTTCCCACACCATGATTTTTAGTTGCTAGAAGCCTCAAAAAAGAAAGTTAAAACCAAAAAGGTCAAAAGAAACTACTAACAGAGAGGAATTGACTTTTTCACTAAACTAGTATTTGATGCAGCACCCTTGCTATTAAGTCCCACACCCAATTTCAACTCCAACTCCACATTCCCTTTCCCTTCACTGCCACCAAAGCTACTTGGACTGAACAAATGAGCCACGGAGGTAACCACTGCGCATTTCCTCTCAGTTTTCACTTTACATTTGACCTTCTTCTTTGCCTCCGACGATGAAGATGAAGTAGAGGGTGATGCGAGAGGCAAAACCGATGGAATTTCAAAGTTGGTCTTGGCTTTTGACCCTCTCAGCCGCCTGGCCGCGGCGTCATATGCACGCGCAGCCTCCTCAGCCGTGTCGAACGTGCCTAGCCAGTGCCGGCACCGCCCAATACGGTCACGTATTTCCGCTGACCACCTTCCCCATGGCCTCTTTCGTACCCCTCTGTAGCTTTTCTGCACTGAAACAGCAACAGCAGGACTGACGTTTCTCTTGTTAGACCCGAAACGTTGAGACGCGGAAACGAAACCTGGAGCTTCTAGTTTACTACTGTTAGCATCCGATAGAATTATACTATTGCTGAGTTCGGTTGTGGTGGTGGGAGCGGTGGGGTTGGCTTTGTTACCAAAGAGAACGTGTTGGCCAACCACAGCAGCTATTCCGTCGAGAACTGGAGGCGTTTCTGGACGAGTTTCCATTATGGTTTCAAGTTCAGTTTCATGAATCTTATCAAGGGCATTAAGTGATGAAAAAACGCCGGAGATATCAGCGTAAATGGGTAGATAGTTTTGCCTGTAGAAATGGGTAGGGGCTATCGTTGAGGAACAAGAAGAGAAGTGAGAAGAAGAAGCACCGAGAGGCTTGTAAAGGCATGGCGTTTCGATTGTTTCAGACGTCTCTGGCCTACAGAAGACGGAAACGGTTTGTAAAGGATGGTAGTTGACAATGGCAGAGCTTTGCATTGTTGGGCTGAAGAGAGACTGGCAAAATGAGAAATTCATTGAATTGGATAAATAAGTGCGGTATTAACCATATTTATAGAGAAAAATAAAATATTAATTAATAATTAATTATCTATTTTAACAAAAAAGATTTTATTTAGAAATTGAAGATATTCTTGTCAATTTCGATGAGACCGTAATCCGTAACATTTACATTGCAAGTAGCAGTGGGATATTCCTTCCCAGATTACCCATTTTGCCCTTATATTTTGTTCGAATATACAACCAATTGTAACGGAACCATTCTCTCAAGGAGAGGTCCAAAACGTCACACCACGAAGAAAGGATGATTTAGGCTTAAAATTACGGAAAAACCCCTATTGTGGAAATTCAAGTAAACTTATTTAAGGGATTAGAATGTCATTAACCTAGAAGTGTGACGAAGGTGATATGACGGGGGGAGATTAAGGACTTGAAAGGTCAGAAATAGCCCTACCCCATTGGAATCTCTGGATTCCGGTCCTGATGAATTAGAGGAGGGACATGATAGTCAATAAAGTAAAAGATGATGGGCAGTCTAGAACTTGGGGGAGGAAATCCTAGAGTATAATAGCTATTAAAGAGTGCGTAATCTCGAGGGTGGATGATGGGTTGGCAGCCGTCGGATTGCGTGACGTCAGGTTGGCATCAAAGGATTAGATTGTTTGACGCTGTGACTATTGACAGATGTCGACGATTTTTTCCAAATTGATTGCTCGGTTATTACGGAGAAGGGATTTGGTGTAAGACAGGTTCAGGGGAGTAACCGTGTGGAGACAGTTGAAGAACCGATATGCAAGTGGACTGATGGTGCCAGCTTGATGAAGATGGCGATGATGGTGGTATGGGTTGAGAGGCCCTTTGGCGTATGAAAGGTCCGGACGCTGTCAATCAAATGCCATTTCTTACACTATAAGTCTTTTCCCCTTGTTTTGCATTTACTTGAGGCATAATCTATTGAAATTGAAATATTTCAACTATATTAAACAACCCAAACCCCTTGGCTTTATATTATTTTCCCTAGCTACAATACTTACTTTTTTCTGAGTAATTCTGTGTTTTCGTTCTGTTAATTTGCTACAATTTTTTCATTATTTGATATATTTGTAAGCATTTATTCACTCGATCAATCAAAGCCTGATGTGACATTGATTATCATAATTGTGGCAGCTTTCAGCTCTTTAAACCTCACTCATTTGAGTAATTCATTTATTTTTGTTCATTATGAAAATATAAGATTTCTGATTACAACATCGTTTAAATGCTTAACTTGAAAGATGGTTGCAACATCATCTCAAATGGATAAAAGTTAAACTAATTTTATACATTTTGATAAGTTCAAAGAAATGATTTTGATGAAAATTAATTTGAGTAGGTTAATTCCTATATTATGAAATCTGATGTCGGAAAAAAAATAATTTTAAATTTGTAAGTGTAAACATTGTATATTTTATTAAATTAATATTTTTAAAAAATAATTATTTTATTACAAAATGATATTAAAATCAATTCAGACCTAACTTTAAAATCATTGAATATTCTAATGAGTGGAGTAAGAGTAAATAAAGTGATTTGACTCATGATAAAGATGACACGAAGTTAAATAAAAAAATATTATAAAATTTCATATCGGATAAATTAAAAATGAATCGTATACGTAAAAATATAAGTACTTCATATCTTATCAAATTAGATTTTTGACAAAAAGGGATACATTTGCCAAGACAATAATGAAACCACTGCCAAGTCTCTTGTGATAATTCTAAAAGTGGTGAACTGAGCTCTTGCTAATGCACTTATAACCTCTCTTTTTTCCTTTTTTTTTTAATTGAGGTTAATGGATAAAGTGTTGATATATAGGTGGCAATTTGATTGGTCACGTCGGATTAGATTTGGATGGTATTCAGATTTGAATTTTATATTTTTGATCATTTTCAAGTTCAAAATGAATTGCTCAAATTTCAGTAAGTCATGTTGGAAATACATCAATTTAGTATAAAATTCTTAGTTCTATTTATCTGTTGCACACATAATTCTAGTTTAATTTCAATGATTGCGCCTAAATATGTGCTTGTGATTTGTATCAAAACTACTTATTGTTTGCTTAATATAAACTTATTTTTGTTCCCACCACTACGTATTGTTAGTTGAAAATAAGTGTGCTACTTTACCTTGGCTAATATATACATCTTGATGTTCTTAATAAAAGTAGATCACAAGCTACTCATAATCAACAATATTTTAGATAAATTGAAGATACAAAATGGATTATAGATTTATATAGAATGACTATTTTTTTTTAAAAAAAAAAACAAACTCCACTTACATTTTTATGTAATTTTAACTTTTTTCAAATGATACTCTTGTAATTTTTTTTTTCAATTAACACCCTATAAATAACTTCTATTGTAAAAATCTTTCAAAAAAAAAAAACTTCTATAATAAAAAAGGGTTAAACCATTAATTTTGTTAATCAAAATTCTCAAAATACCCTCAATCCATTTTTTTTTTGAAAGATTGAAATATTTCATTGCATAAAAAATCTGTACATGACATCTAGGTTAGCCCACTACTGTCCATGAAGCAATGCACAGATTTACAAAGAGTGTAGTTGGAGGTTTTTTTTTAACCAAAAATTTATTTTAGGGATAATTATATGTAGGTGACATTGTTAAAAGATTGTAAAAATTGTTGAACCTTTTAGGCAATATTTCCTCAATATATATTTTGATAAATCGTTGAATTTCCATGAGACTTTGATAATTTCATGGAAATCAATTGTGCTATGGGAAAAATAAATAAATGGGAGCCTCTAATATCCAACATTTTCGAGCCCTACATCAAGGATAATGTTAATTTTTGTTGAATGTGTTGACAACATCTTAAAATATTATTATATATTAATAATTTTATGTTTTTATTTTTTAAAAAAAAAATTTCGAACGGTCTTTTAAACAAAGAGATATATACATCTACTATCGAGTGGCTAAACTTTTTATTATGATAATTATATATACTTTCCTAAAAGATTGGTGTCAATAAAAAATTTGCATGCTTAAAGTCTCAATAGTTTGACAGCAACAAGACAAAGGCAAACAATATTAATATACCCCAACATCTACTCATGTAGCAGCTATACTCTTTCGAGATTCAACACTACATTTATTTACTCAAGTCCGAAGGTGCAAGAACAATAACTCACTGCAAAAACTATGTCGAAATGAGACATTAATATGCATATAATTAACAATATGTTTGACTAATAGAACAGTAATGTTTTGGTTTCATGTGATAGTGGATCCATGCATGCTACCCTTCTTCCCTTCTTTCTAACCAAGTTTATGTGTTGAAATTTGTACTCTATACCAGATTCCTCTTTGGTAAGTGTAAAATATTGAAAAAATAATAATATTAAAAGAGGTTTATAGTTAAAGATTTTCCCTCATCTTCATGCAAAAACAAAAGCCGAGACAATAAGAAAACCGAGGTTATTGAAAATTCCCATGTTAGAAGCAAAATCAATGCAACTTTTGCTGTCTCGTATAGTTTAGTTTGGCTTTGACTAAGAGAAACAAAATAGAAACTGTATGTAGCAAAGCACAAACAAATGATCAGTGGTCCATCAAAGACATCAGGCTGAACTATGTTTGAAGTCAATATTATTCTTCGATTATGCTTCGGCAAATAGTCCATGCAAAAAAAACTCAAATCTTTCTCCCTCCGAGAAGACACTAACACATGCAAGAGAACAGCTGCACAGATTGAGGTTGTTGGCTTTATTTTGGGCATTTTTCAAGGTGGTAGTGGAATTGGGATACTCTCACTTTGATATTTGAAGAAACATTCGCTAGGAACAAAAAAGAATGTCGGTCTATAAGTCTCTAAACAACTCTATCTATGGAGAGAGAGGGAGGGATGGGGCTGTTGTTCCCAAGAGAAAGTGGGTACTGAAGCACGCGATGGCTTTTATTGGTGTGTTAGTTTTAGCACTCATTGGACTGAGAGTTCTTCAATTGCAATGAGGCCAGTTTTATACTAGAACTTGGGGTTCTGAGAAAGAAGCAGAGAGAGAGAGAGAGGGAAAAAGATTAGTGAGAAAATCCCAAGAAGAAAGAAGACAAAGAAAGTATGCTATTATGATATCTTTATGGTTCTTGTACTTCGAAACTGTGTTTTTTTGTGTCAAGTAAAACTCCAGCCTCTGTGTTTTCTTTTTCTGTTGTTTTTTGGGCTGATTTTGATAATTTCCATTGCATTTGGCTTTTGCTTGTGTGGGGAAATGTAGAATCCTGCTCAGATCAGATGCTACAAACTTTTGTACTAATTTTCCTCCTTTTGAGCCATTTGATAGGGCCACTTATGAATATTCTTCCATTTACCCATGTGCCCTTTTCACAAGAATAGTAGTCTTGGAGCAGAGATGAATAGTGGTCAAAGAAAAAGGTGGATTTGCTTCATTGGTTCAGGCCCCCAGAACCGGTCTTGTCAGTATCGAGCCTAGAAGTGAACGCTGGGCTTGGACTATGTTTAACTAAATGCGAGTTTCTATTTCAGTACTAGAACTGGCTTAGGGTTTACTTAAAATATTTGGTTTTCATTTCTGCTGAAGATAATAATTAAGCATATATATTATGTAGTAGAGTATTTAATTTCCCAGAGGGTTACTGGTGACTCCATACCATGACTCAACCTGGACTGGACCGCTACAAACGTGTGATTAGCGTAGGCTCAATGATGACACTCCAGGGAGGAATGCAGAGACACATGCAAGAAAGCTAACGAGGCGAGAAAAAGGGGGAGACCCCTACCCTGCAAATCTTTTGAAGGATTAAGGATGTCCTCTAAAGCAAACACTGGAATCGCGTAGGTTACGCTTCAAGTAATATCAGCCGAGATATTGTCCATCATTCCTCTTTTTCAACAGTTTACCTTTAAACATAAGGAAACAAATCCTTTGCTCATTCTAGCCAACCTTTTAAGACAATTCTTTTCAAAATAATAAACTCACTAAAGTGTTCCGTGATCAAATTGTGTGCTGAGGAACGCTGCAAGCGATGTGGTCATGTTGGAGTAGGTAAATCAGTTGTGCATGGGTTAGTTGTATCATGGAACCACTTGTTCCTTCTAAACTAGGTAGCTTTATGTAATCTTAATCATTTTCACAACATCTATATGTCAAGCAGGAAAGACAGATTGTTCAGTTTGTCATTCTAGCAATGTTCACTGTGACGGCAGGAGAGAGAGAGATTAGTTGAAAGGAGAGAAAATTTACAAGGAAGAAAGAACAGGGAAAAGGGAGAGGAAGCTTCTGGCAGCCATAGGTGGAACCACCAATAGTGACAGGGCGCCAGAAGTTTTGAGACAGAAAAAGGAAGGGAACAGTGTAGGGTTTTATTTAAATATTAGGTAAAATATTTTAATCTTCTTAAGGTTTAGTTATAATTTTACTAAGGTTCAGTAATATTTAAAATAGATAATTCAACATTAACGACATTAACGAATAAATGTAAAATATCTAAAATATTTTTCTTTTTTCTTTTTTTTTTACATTATTTTCCTTTCTCTCAAACCGGATGACAATGTTTCCTTATGTCAACCAGCCACCTTATGATTGCATTTGATAATGTCAGAATCAACCGGATCTCTCACTCCCCCAAATCAAGCTCTGCTGGGGAGCGAAATCTCGACTCTCCCTTGAGGAGGGGGAGCGCAAACCTTAGGGGAGCACACTCCTACTTGGTAGACTAGTGCTCTCTTTCAATTGCAAGAAAAGGGTAGAGTGATTTTTTTTAAATGAGAAAAAAAAAATTTTAAATGAAAAATTATAATTTATATAATGTAGTAATTTTTAAAATTAATGAAAAGTAAAATTATTCGAAAAAAATTATCACATCATCAAATTAATAAAACAATAATTATTGATTAACGTTTGAATTTATGTATTCAACAAAATATATTGTTTAGCGACAAATTGTTCATTTCAAATAATAATGAATTTATATAAAATTATGACTAAAATTTAAGAAAATCAAAATGTTTTACCTTTAAATATTTTATCCTTAAAATTGTCTTGGTGGAGTATAATCCTGCCGTTACTTTGGGGAGGGAGAGCATGGCAAAGGAGCACACTTCCCTCCAGTCGATCGATGCTCCCTTGGGCGTCTCTCTAGTTGCAAGTTGGCCGACCATCGACAGTAAAAGGTAAGGAGATTTATTATGAATAGAAGAGAAAAAATTTTAAAAATAAAAAATTATAATTTATATAATATGATAATTTTTAAAATTAATAAAAAATAAAATTATATAAAAAAAATTACTACATCATCAAATTAATGAAAACAATAAGAATTGATTAACGACTTTACTTGTATGTCCAACAAAAAAATTCGTTTGAGACGAATTATTCATTTCAAATAATAATAGATTTATATAAAATTATAATTAAAATTAAAAAAAATCAAAATATTTTACTCTTAAAATTGTTTTGGGGGAGTATAATTTCAATGCTCCCTTGGGGGAAAGGGGCACGGACCTCAAGGGAGCACATTCCCTTCTGATCGGCCAGCGTTCCCCTAATCTGCCCTTTGATCACGAGGTGGCGTTGAGAGAAAAAGGTAAAGAGATTTTTTTTTTAATAGTAGAGAAAAAATATTTAAAAATAAAAAATTATAATTTATATAGTTTGGTAAGTTTTAAAATTAATGAAGGGTATAATTGTTTAAAATAATTACCAAATCATCAAACTAACGAAAATAATAATGATTAATTAACGATTAGATTTATATGTTTAATAAAAAAAAAATTTTAGAATGAATTATTTATTTCGAATATTATAAATTCATGAAAAATTATGAATAAAATTTTAAAAAATCAATATTTTGCCCTTAAATATTTAACCTCAATGGGCATAGTTTTGGAGGGTAAGAGAAAATAAAGAATAGATTAGAAGCAAAAGAAACAGGCTGTGTCGGCCCAAAATCCAATCCGGTAGGCTCTACCATCCAACTTCGAAAGAATCAAAGAATCAAGCCGAAACCAAATACAAAAAGGAAATAAATAAAAAGGGAAAATTTTGGAAGCTATAATTTCCTAGCTTTATGACTTTCAATGCGTTACATACAATACTTCAAGTTGCAACTTGATTAAAATTAAAAAACAAAAGGGAAGAAGAAGAAGCAAGCCTATTTGAATACTAAAATAGACAAGACAATACAAATGGGGGTTGACATAAATTTTAGAATAATTATGGGATTTTGATTGTTCTATTAGTTCAACATTACAGCTGCAAATTTCATAATTAAACATTCTACATGTCTCATTTAGGACCAACTGTTGTCACCAATTCTCCAGTTCTCAGTTACTATCAAGTGCTGGTAAACATTCATCTAGAATATCAGCTGCATGCTCCAATTCTTTCTCTGAGATGATCAATGGTGGCACCAATCTCACAACATTTCCTTGCCCTGCGGTTAATACTATAAGCCCAGAATTTCGACAGGCATCTACAAGGGGTGAAGCTGATGCATCTAGCTCTATTCCAATTAGAAGACCCAAACCTCGCACTTCTTTCACGTGTGCATTTCCTCCAAGCTTTTTGATCAACAATTCTTTGAAGTAATGACCTTTCTTTGAGACGCTGGACAAGAAACTGGGATTTGCAATTTTATCTAAAACAGCAATAGCAGCACTACAAACAAGAGGTGAACCAGCAAAAGTACTTCCGTGGTCTCCATGGGCTACAGCAGAAGCAACTCTTTCTGTTACTAAAGTAGCACCTATTGGAAGACCTCCCGCAAGAGGCTTGGCAAGTGTCATTATATCTGGGTATACACCGTATTCTTCATGTGCCCAGAGATAACCAGTTCGACCCAATCCACATTGAACCTATGAATATGAGAGTAATTGTAACAATGATAGCAAATGTTAGAATCATTTCTGGCACAAGATGTATTTAGGAATAAATGAACCAAAACAGAGCTACTGTTCTGCATCTCATAAATCAGCATAACTTTTATAAACCTAACCTACACATCCTATGCCAGAGCTCCTTCTTTGACATCTCTATAGCACCGAAGAAAAGTATCCTATCACTTGTACCAATTGAAAGGCTTTACCCGTTATATTATACCAAAGAAGCCACCAAAGTCTCAAAAAACCTAAAAGAAAAAAGAAAGCTACCAAAGGCTTGTCTTCAAAGTATGCTTTAAAATTGGAACTAGTCTATTACTACTTTCTCTGTTACCTGTGCAGAAGAAAATAGGATTAACAACTTTTACTTATCTTCTATGGCCCATTACTCTACTATCATATTAAAGTTTACTTGTAAAGTCTAAATCAGAGATCCTTGTGACAAAACAATATCGTTGATCTTACTCTATCCTAATAAATTTATGACTTTAATGTAATCTGAGGATATCTTGTAAATTTGTTTCAAGCAAAGTTAAGAGGCTTCAGTATTTTTCTTTTTTCAACTTAATGATGATTAAGCACAGTTACACCCAAGTCCATTACAATAAGGTAGCAAGAGATCAACCATAAATCAAATCTGCTCAAGACATTTAGACAAGATTTGATCTAACATCTGAATTGAACTTATCTCTAAAACAGGAGGAAGCTGTGTACCTCATCAAAAACCAGGAGGCACCCAGCATCATCACATGCCTTTCGCAAAGCTTGCAGGAATTCCTTTTTTGCACTGTATATTCCACCTTCGCCCTGAATGGGTTCAACAAATACAGCAGCAATTTTTCTCTGCTGGATAAGATCTTTCGCAGTTTGTATATTGCCATACTCCAGGAAAGTAACTCCGGGCATAACAGGCTCAAATGGTGAACGATAATGTTCTTTACTTGTCAAAGCAAGGGCTCCCAAGGTCCTACCATGGAAGCTATTAGTAAAAGAGATAAAACCAGTGGCAGGCTGTGCATCATCAGGATGTGTAAATCTTTGAAACTTCCTGGAAAACTTAATAGCAGCCTCATTCGCCTCCGTTCCAGAGTTTGAGAAAAATACACGATCAGCAAAAGAATTAGCCACAAGACGTTTTGCAAGCTCCACCTACAACAACAAAATATATCCCATCTGATAAACAGGTCAAAAAACATAAAACATTAGCTAAATTTGTATATCTCTCATGCTAATCAAACCAATCATTTATTAGCCATTCTAGAGAACGAAAGGAATTTCTAATTAACACAGAAATGATAATAGGTTTTTATTTTCCCATAAGAATATGCAAAATTCTGTGCTTGCTTCACTATTATAGCATCAAAATAGAAATCATTATGTAGGAAATGAAATGATCCTGTTTATTTCAGCATTGTTTTGGTAATTGCTTTTGCTTCAAAAAGCAAATAAATATTTAATTAAAAATAATGTAATTTTAGTAGATAACAACATGCCTGATATTACTTTTATATCGGACAATTATATTAGAATCAAAATGCAAGCACAGCTAAAATTCAACAATCCAACAAAAAAACACGAAATTTAATTAAACGAAAAATAAAAAAAGACTTACCCTTTCAATAAAAAAACCAAAAACAAAACTTACCCATAAATGAAAAAAAAAACCCCAAATTAAAAAAAAAAAAACTCTCACCTGAGGAATGGAATAGTAGGCATTACTAACATGACCAAGCACATTAGCTTGCTCTGTAACCGCCCTGACCCAATCAGGATCCCCATGACCAAGCGCATTGACAGCAATCCCAGCTGCACAATCAAGAAACTCTCGCCCTTCAGGATCGTACAATTTACAGCCTTTGCCACGGGACAGTACCACCGGAGCTCTTGCATACGTCCCAACAAGAACCTTCCCTTCTTCCTCTATCACTTCCTTGCTTCCACCCGACTTCATTTTCAACGGATTTGGTGCTTCCACGTCCACGTTTAGACATGCACTCACTCTCCCTTTGTTCAACGGACGGCGGAGATTGGTCGCCGGGGAAACTGAAACTGAGAAGCTGTGAAAAAGCTGGAGAGAACCCATTTTTTTATTTTTTATTCTCTTTGTTGGGTCTTGGTAAAGCTTTGATTTTGTTCTGTCGGGTTCTGGTTTTGGGGTGGGGGGTTTATATAGCAAAGGGGAAAATTTGGTTTACTTCTACCAAAAAAAAGATAGAAGCAATGGAAAAAAACTAAAGAATTTGGTTTCGTGGGGGAATAATGAAAAAGGTGGCGATTCTGACAAAAAGATCAAATGATTATTAATAATTCCACAAATGAACTGATTCCAGTATTGATTGCAGCAATTTGGAGGCAAAGAGGAGGCTGGGGTTTAAAATTCTTGTTCTTTTTCCTCTGCTACTGTTCTTAGACCCGACCCGAAGATTGACCCGTCGAACCCGTTGATTGGTCACCGGTCTTGGGATACCGGGTCGGTTTTTGCAACATAGTTGTACAAGTGGGTTTAGGGCACGTCGCCTTTAATCTTTTAGGCTTTTAGTTTCCCGTTTACGGTTGCCTTTTTTCCTTTTCTGTTCAAAATGTAATTTCAAATATTTAATATTTAAGTATCTATCTATTTTATTTTCTTTTGGCAACATCTAGCTATAAAGAGAATTTGTTGAGTTTGGTATCACGATGTCACGAGTCAAGCAATATTAATTTAATTTAAAAAATCTTCTAAAAATACTTAAAATCATATTAATAAATAGTAAAAAGGACTTAAATTGTAGTTATTTTTTCCATGAAGTCACTTTTTTTTATTATATTCAAATGAATCTTTAAATATTGATTTCTATTAAAACAAGACTTTAACCATGTTTAAACACACTTTTTAACTTTAATGAAAAATTAATTATTATCAAAATTAATATCTAGTGTCCAGTCAAAATCTAGCCATTGTCGCCACCTATTGCTATCTTGGGTACGTCAAACCTTGACAACAAAAAATCTTAATTTTCAATTCCTCACGTCTCCCTCTACCTTCTAATTGATTCATTTTTCAATTTGAGTTACATTCATCAAAGTTCAAAAGTAGGTCTGGCTGGCGGCAGTACTAATCGGAAATTTTGATCTTTGACTAATCAAACAAGGATTTAACTGGGGCTGCGTCTTTCATCTGTAGAGTACAAATAACCATGACAGTCAATTTCTTTCCTTCTTTTGGAAAAGGATAAAGAGGACGTAAAGGTGCAGACCGTCGAGATTAATGATAATAAAAAGGTCCAAGCTCCACCGCAACACACGATTGTCTAGGCTCTGAACCAACTTTTTCAAACCTCAAACATTGACGTTGAGCAGCACCTGCACGCATAACCGTATGCAATGACCTCTTACAATACATTTCTTATTCTTTCCAATGCTTTCTCTTTTCTCTTTCGTCACCCGTCACTTCTTCCCCCCAGAACAAAATTCCAAGAAACAAAAAATGGGTCCCACCCATCTCACCATCCGATTAAACTAAATCACTGCTCTTAACTCTTTCCCCTTAGCTTGAAACCCCCAACTTTTTACAGCGACTTCCCTTGGTCAATCTGTAACCTAGGACCAAAAACAGTGCCTGAACACATGGGCTAAGCCCTGACCAATAAACCACCGACCTGTAAAGTAGAGCAGGAACAAGTAATTCTTACACAAGAGGCACTATTTTCTGGAAGCCGCTTTTCTCATTGCTCATCGACCCTTCTAGCTGCTCGTTTGATTTTTAGAATCTTTTTCTTCCTTCCTCGAAGAAGACTCTAGTGCTTTTGGCAAGACGGTGGTATCATTGATTTCATCAGATATTGACAACTGCTCCACTGCCTTGCCTGCTTCAAGGTGTGCCATCAAATCTCTAAGCTGCAAGTGCATGGAAAATAGCTGCTGAATATTTGCTAGGTTTAAGATGCAAACTTGCTTACAACAACAGTGCACTGAAGCTCATCAAAAATCCAAATAATGCCTGACCTGTTCCTCCAAGGCCTGGATTTTATCATTCTTCATCCTCAAAGCCTTCTTTTCCCTGTAAAAAAGTTCAATCTCAGCAGTTCATCAAATAAAATACAACAGAAATGAACCTGTCATTTGCCACAGAGTACTAGTTCATTAGGCGTATGCATCACTGATTATCCTTCTCAACAAAGGAATAAGGATCAAGGTACCATTTTTGCATAGAATCAGAATGCATGTGGTTAAAACTATGCATCTATGGTTGATCAAGAAGACATCGTACATGGTTCCATCTATAGATTCATATGTCAGGGATGTCCCCAAAAGGGAAAGCATTTGTAACACCTGGGTTATGTTCCAGCAATACCTAGGATCACAACATTTTATTTGCACCTAAAATCCAACTCACAGGGGATAAAATCACATCATGTTGCACAAATTTGCAATCAAACCTTAGGTCCATTCACCATCACCAAACAATCAAAATATAAAGAGCCAAGGAGCGAATAAGACTTTCTAAGATGCCAGCTTGTTACATGGAAAGTTACTACTTAATGGTCTAGTTCTTCCAATTTTAATTTGATCTGTTTTTGCCACCATCAATGTCAGTGAATTGAGACCTTTTCTTTTCTCAGTTACAGTGATAGGTCCAATAAAATTGCTTACAACCTATAATATCAGAATTCAGGCATTTCTAAGTTATAAATTTTTATCTAAAATGTCATATACAACTCTCAAGACTATAAAACTCCAATTACAATCTTTTGCTCCACTGGAGAAAGATAAAAGGCAAAAGAGCGCAGACAGCCATAACCACTACCAACATCCATTTCATGCTTTCTAATTGCAATTTACATGATTACCTTTCATTGTAAAGGGACAAACATCCACCCAAAAAATACAGTGCAAGGCATGTCATGGCAAATAACTGAAGTGTTAACATAGGCAGAAATAATTTGTCTGATAGCATTATTTTTGGTAAGTACTCCTATAACTTTCCAAAAGTTCATTGTAAAGTTACAAAGGACTGTTTCAAATTAATACACATCCAAACATGTCAAAGACAATGGCATGTAAAAGATTTTTGCTATAACCTACAAAACTTGCTATACACTAGCCATACCTCTCTTCAACTTCCAATAGCTTTGCTTTCCATATCTCCTGATTTTTCAAAAGATTCTCGTTGAGCTACAGACAGAAACAATGAAATTTGTACTTAATTAATACGTTAAAGGGAAAACAAAGAAAGAACAATCACTTTTGAAATCATCTAACATGAACTGTGCATACTCTTGAGATCAAGATCTCAGTACTCACATCCTCAAGAAATTTCTGTTCCTTCACACATCTGTCAAGCTTGGCCTGCATCTTCTGTCGTTTTTGCATGACAGCCTTGTTAACAGCATCTGCAATTTCTCTCTCAGTTTCTTCATTGACTTGTTGAAGCAAAGTCTCATAATACTATAATCATAAGCTTGCATTAGTCATAAGCTAAAAAGGTAAGTTTTTCACAGTTAAAAAGGGGGGAAGCAGACACTTACCAATTTTTGGTTCTCAAGTTGGGTGCGGAGTAGTTCATTGTATTCATTAACAATCTGAGAAAATACTAAAAGTAAGACCAGAGTATTCTACAATAGCACCAAAAAACACAAGTTCAAATAGAATAATAGAAAACTTACAACCTCAGCTTTGCAGCTCAAAATAGCCTCACTAATTCCAGAATCTGCACAGTCACAGCTTCCACAGCCATCATTAGCATGCAGACAATGTGATTTCAATTCGACCAGCTTGCCATCAGTTTTGGATTGAATTAGTCGGTGGACATAATTGTCACCAACATAATCCCAGACACGCTGCGTTTCCAATTCAAGAGAATAGCAGTGTTGCGTTTCTTTCCAATGTATTATAGCATGTCCCCTTTTATACCTACATTAATATTTTGATCTTAAGAAATGAGGCGACTGACATAAGAAAAGAGGAAGAAAGGGCAAAATAAAGTTCCTGCCCAGCTGACAGAGAAAAGAAAACTTTTACCTTCCACAGCCAACAAAACCACAAAGAACACAAATCCAAAGATTCTCAGAAGTCTGACATATGAAACATGTCGATGTTTCGGGCTGCTGCTGGCAATATCGGCATACCTGCAACAAAATAGTGAAGAACCTTCAATATACTCCCAACTGCTTACTATATATTGGGAGCAGGTATTTTGGAATCACTTTCATAAGGCCCCTACACCAGTATGCATGCCGGCACAATGACAAAAAAAAAAAAAAAAGCAAAAACAATCTGAGTCACTTACTGGACAAGAAGAATCTGTCCATTTTGAAATACAGGAGCAATGGAAAGAATGATTACAGATGGTCGTAAGAATTCCACTTGTGTCCTGGTCTAATCTCTCTGTAACAGAAGGTAAAAAAAAAAAAAAAGAAAGAATATAATGCCATCTACAGTTAACTGTCCCACAAAAATATGCACTAGGCTTGCATAAACAAACTACATATGCTAATCTCACTATAGGCACAGAATCAACTTAAAGAGAAGACTATGCAAGGAAGAAAGGAAACATATAGACTGACGATGGAAGAAGAAAATAGAGACCAAAGGATAACAGCATTGAGGGTGTTATGTTGTATATCTGGGGCATCCTGGTACAGAGATGCAGTACAGCAGTGAGGGTATTCTGTAGAGGTAGAAGGAAGTTGGTGTTCACCGGAGAGCACATTGAGTACCAATACAGTACTAATAACCTTGGTTTGAACTGGTATGCATTCAACTTAGACTACCGCTGCTTTATCTGCTTAACACTTGGCTCAGAGGAAAATTCAGGTCTGATCAATGCAGTTTGACTCATAACACATAACTTTGCATAGCAGATCCAGTTGGCCATTAAGCAGGCCAAAAAGAGAACCGCATGGGTTGTCCTTATTATTTTAGTGTATCTGCTTGGCAAAGACTTGGATGCTCTAACTGAAGAAGTCCTTAAAAAGGATGGCTAAGCTAAATATAAAACCAGATTTAAAGTCATTTCTGTTTCACAATTTATACCTTTTTTTTTTTTCCAGAAAATGTCAATGCTATTGCTCTAATCTATCAAGTTTTATGACAAAGTACTCACAAGAAAGGATACCATACAGAGAAAAGGAATATAACAGGAAATTTGTAAAGCATAGCTGAAGCACATACCAAGACAAACGGGACACGAAGGCTGCTCAGTTGAACTTGCGGGGGGAGACTGTACATGGTCAAGAGAACCGCTATAGCCCGTGAACTGCACATCCACTGTAAAAAGCACACGGCAGACTTCTTCCTAAATAAATCCAAAATCACTACAATAACTTTCCAAACAATAAACAAAGACATCATAAAAACGGATGATTTCCTCAACACTATAGTGCTCCAATTTTAAGAAAAGGAAGACATACCTCGAGAGAATTAAATTGTCTGTTGTTAAAATGCTGGTAGAATTTATCTGTAGAGTCTTGGCCATCAAATCTTATTAAAACACTATAGCGATCCTCCATGCCATCGTTCCTGATCATCAACATCCAAGACAGCAAAAAATATTTAAAATCTCAGTCAATGGGCATAACCAACTTCAATTACAGAAAGACAGAAACAATTTCACAAACAAAAAATGAGAACTTTTTCTAAAAAAATCCACAATTGGATGCATTTCAACGCCAACTAACACCATAAAGCGTTTACTAAACCATCCCTTCCAAATGAACAACCATGCTGGAAAATTTCAACATATTTACCTGACGATTCTCATCTCCAATATATGATGGATAAATGAAGCACAAAATTGACAGAAATCAGCATATGTCATGTGGTTTGGCACCCCTAGCACACATACAAGAGGTTTCCTTTCAACCTATCAACATTTAAGAAGTTTTTCAAATTACAGAAATAACAGTAACTCCGCCAAACTCTCCTAAATAAACAAAAGAATTATATAGATTTCTCAAATATTGAAATAGAACTTTAAATGAAGAGATTACGGGAAGGGTGGAAACGGCGTCATTAGAGAAGAGATGCATAACTCCCCGTGTCTCTTCGATTCTAGGGTTTCCAGAGGAGAAAGAGATGGCTTCCGTGCTCATGTTGGGAGCCGAGTGATCGCCGGCGATGACCGTCTCCGGTTGCAGGAACTTATCGTCCCCGGTGACTGTGCTTGAGCTTGATGACATGGCTTTGTTTCATTAACGTTAAATTTTTTGGGTTTCAAAATTAAGGAAGGAAAATGAAATTGAGGGGTTTATATAGGAAAGGTCAAAGGACGGGTTACGTGCGATGAACTTCGTGTGGCGTGTTATAGGACGCAATGCAGAAACGCCACGTCAGAACAACAGCCGATTATTCTGCCTCTTTTTATTTTTCTTGTACCGTAGCATTTGTACATTTCTAAGCCTAATAAAAAATATTTAATCTTTATTAATAAATATTAATTTTAATGAATATTGTACCTTAAAGCCTCTCTAAGAGGCAAATGTTCTTCTTTAATTTTGATCTTAGAAGAGAGAGAGAGAGAGAGAGAGAGAGATTTCAAGTTCCAAACTCTGAGGAAATATCTTTAAATGGCACTAAAGAAAATTCAAAAAAAAAATGAAATTGTGATTTCATATCTCCTAAGAGCATCCAAAATCTTGGGTTATTTATCCTGAGATAGATTAATGGAGTTCTGTCTTCAATACAACAAAGTCTCCCCTTTTTTCACTGTGCAGAGTCTACTAAAATTTTAAAGTCACAAAAAGAAAATGAAGAAAAAGGGTTAACCACATGGAGGCCTCCTGAATTGGTACTCCAGCTGTATTTTGACTCAGATGGCAGCAAGAATTGGGGAGTCAACTGATTTGAGAACCTCCTCACCCATCTCCTTGCAGCCCACTAGTTTCTGCACAAGGAATGTAGCAGCAAACAACATTTACAAGTGTAATTGACATGAAGAAACTGAAATATCCCATGAATATACGGGACAAATGATTAAACAAAGTGACCCAAAAAAAATTTTTATGTGTAGGAAAAAGCAAGAAAAGCAGTAGAAAATCAGACAGCCAAAATTATGTATTGTTGCCAAACTCTAAACAGTGTTTAATGGTCTTTCTGAATCATCTCCTAAATTGTTTAACTACCCAAGAAAACTGAGATTGAGATTAAGGTGCTACAATCAGGTCAGGTGGTGGTTAAAATTCCACTACAGCTTGGTATACCATTTTTTAATTAAACTTCATTTGCCCCCATAAGTGTTCACCAGAGCATTAAGATAACTTAGGTTCTTTGCGTCAAAATTAGAAGAGAAGAAAACAACGAAAAAAAGAGGTGTTTTGGGATAAGGAGCTTGTACATTTCCAGCTGAATGTATATCGCCCGTCCGGAAACCCTTATTAAGAGTATCCAGAACTGCATTCTCAATTCTCTTTGCAGCATTCTCTTCTCCCAGGCCATACTTCAAAAGCATTGCAGCACTAAGAATTGTTGCAAGTGGGTTTGCCTTGTCCTGCCAGTCAGACCATAATATTCCGCATTATAATCAAGTTTCACCATATTCAGTTTTACGGGAAGATGATAAATAAGCGTTAAAAGGTAAAAAGAACAAATGTAATTCCAACCTGTCCGGCGATATCAGGAGCAGAACCATGTATAGGTTCAAAAAGTCCAGGTCCCTGTGCAAATGGAAATACTGATACAATCAAATATATACAAACACCAATATTCTCAGACCAATCTGCAAACAGACTAATGAGTCGTCATACTGATTCACCAAGACTAGCAGATGGAAGCATCCCAATGCTTCCAGTGATCATTGATGCCTCATCGGACAAAATATCACCGAATATGTTGTTGGTCACAATTGTGTCGAACTGCACCATTTCATTTTTAAGTATTGTAAGCTCTTGCAGTATAAACAATGGCACGATACAACTTTACTTGGGCCTCACAAGTGAAATGGAAGATTATGTCTTTTTATTTTCAAAACAAACCTGTTTTGGGTAACGAACAAGCTGCATTGCTGCATTGTCAACATACATGTGTGAAAGCTCAACATCAGGATATTCAGAAGCTATCGCTGCAACTCTTTTCCTCCATAACATTGATGCCTAGCCAATGGAACAGAAAAATTGACAGGTATGTTACATGAGAAAAGGACAATGCAACTATAATTCACAGATAAACTTCACTTTCTGCATATTGGTTTACATTCTGAGGCCAGAATCACCCAAGTCCCTGCATAAGCTGGATTTAAAGCTACAGCACAATTCATACAGCCTTAGAAGTTCATCATTGCCTAGGATTAAGTTGAAATATGCTCACAGCACCCTAATTTAGGAAGACTTCAATTTCCATCCAAAAAATGCAATAATGATCTTTTCCATACTTGCTTGGCAGCAGTTTCCTCATGATACTTGGTGCCTATACTAAACTGCAGTAAGCCCATGAAAGGAGATATTTTCCATTCATTAAAATTAAGGCGGGTTGCAGTGCATCTTATGAGTTAAAAGAATAAGATATCCACAAGCCCTCAAATAATTTATCAGATATAAACAGTTAAAAACACAGTAAAACTTGAAAATTACACTAAAAACCTATAGATCCCAAACGGCACATTATGATGCAATAACCAAGAGTTACCATCTTTTCCTTTTTTTTGTACAAAAAGATGCAATAGCCAAGATTGATAAAAGGAAACACAGTGAAAAACAGTTATCAACACAACAAACCTCCAAAACATTAGCTTTGTCAACAGAACAGAGTTGTCCACGCCGCTTCCGAGCAATCTCAAATGCAACACGAGCAATACGATCAATCTGGCATCCATTTGTTTATTTCAACATTTAATAACTGCTTACATGGAAAAGAAAATCATAGCAACAAACTTGATGAAAAGGACATAACAGGCACTCCACAAGTCAAACCTAGGATTTGCAGATAAACTATACAACTAGCTAATATGTTATAATCTTACATTCTATTAATAAAGAAAATGATATGACAATTTTCAGCTTCTTCTAGATTATAACAATAAAAGGTAGATCATAGTGCTCCTTATCCATTCAATCTCAAACTATATGTTATTACAGAAGAATATTATAGAGTTTTAATTACCATTATCACTCTTCAACCAAACAAATTTTGGGTATTACTAAGTAAAAGCAAGCCTAATAGCAATCTTTTATTTTTCAGTCGATGATCAATTTTACGTGAAAGCATATACATACATGCATTTCATCAAACTATCCATTGAGTGGATGTTTAAATCTGATCCCAATCTCAGGGAAATATTTTTTAGAAAAAAAGGAAAGGAAAAAAAAAGACATCTTGGAGAATTATTATCTATAAAGTCCTTCAAGAATATGAGCATTTAAGATTATCTTCACTAAACGATCACAATTCCATCCACCATTTCTCTAGTTGAAAGAATGATGTTTAATTTAATCTTCTCATTCACCAAAACTCAAGACATCACAACTGAAGGATGTATACCATTTTTCAAAAACTAAATAAAGAAATGGACAATAAAAGAGATCAATTGTTTGTCGAAATTCTACCTCATGAGTAGCATACACCTCAGTATTGAAGCCAATATCCTCACCCTTTTCATTAATACCAAATCCCCTTGGTTTCCCAAAATAAATACCTGATTGCAGCAGAATATTAATGCTAATTATTGACATAGAAAATAGGAGGGGCAGCAGAAAGAACGGAATAAAAGTAGCTTTCTTGATTTTATTTACTGACCTCCAGTAAGCTCCCTTACAACCATTAAGTCAACACCTTCAGCAACATCTTTCTTCAAAGTTGAAGAGTCCACTAACTAAAATAGCAAACAACATGGAAGGAGATTTTCATCATCCATAGTTTTCAAATTAAAGAAACATGTGCTACACCAGCTTCCATGCATGCACAGAAATTTAGAAAGAGCAATGACTTTTTCTTGGAAATAAACAATTCATTCTGCATTGTACAAAAGCACAGAGTGAAACAATTACAATAGGTTTTGTGCATGTTTCTCTTGAATCAACCCATAGTGTCATTTTTATTGGGGTAATGGTATCAAGTCCCCTATTAACATCCTATAATTAAATTTCTTCCAAATTCATAAAAAAAAAAAATCACTTTCCCCTTTGAACCACCTAAAAGTATACACTTCATTCCCATAAAAAATGTGTGGTGGGCATTAAATGCTATAACATTCACCATATTGAGGAAAGAGTATATTTGGAAAAACTTGAGGGAAACTGGATTTATGTTATGTCCCTAATGGTGTTTTTGGATGGAAGGGGAGTAGAAAGAGTGTCAGGTAAAGGTTAACTGCATCATGTTTGGGATTCTTTTAAAGGGATGGAAGCTGGTTTGCATGTAAAACAAACCCCTTAAGACCTCACTTTTTACATTCCCTCAAATCGGGGGGATTTAAGAGCAGAGTATTCAACTTTGTTCTTAAATGGGATGTAATGGTAATAGCATCTACACTCATTACATTACACTCCTTTGCACAACAAGACAAAGAAGAAGAGAGATGTTTACTCTACTCTACTCATCCCTTCACTTGTTTACTATGCTCACTTTTTCCCATCAAACTTCAAAACACACCATAAGGAGTTATTAAGTAGCCATTTTAATTGCGTTAACTTTTCTGTTTCATGCACAGCATGTATCAATACCATTTTTTATGCTCAAGAATAAACATTATGAACTCACAAAATTCCAGGAGCCAACTGTTAAAGATGACTCTTTCAAAAGATAATAATAGTTGCTTGGCTAAGGGATTGTCCAAATTTTTGCTACTAACTTATATAGCTCCAGAAAAGAGAGTGCAGACTAATCATGGGGACTTGGCTTACAAGTAACACTTTGGGAACAATTGAACACGGAGCCACTTGTACAGAATAATTGAAAGCTCTTAGTACAAAGGCCAAAAATAGAAGGCAAATGTGTGGAATTTCAACAAAGACAAATATATATATATATATATGCTGCATCATACAAGTAAAGAATGTATTTTTTTATGGAAAATTGCAAGTTCTACCCCAAAATTTTATTAAACTCACTAAGAATGCAAAAAAATGAAGAAATTACACATTGCAAAAAGACAAATTCAGAAAAATAAACTAAAACACCATTACCTGTGGTAAAACAGTAGCTGGCCTCAAATTTGCAAAGACTTTAAGCCCTTCTCTAAGCTGAAGAAGACCGGTCTCAGGCTTCAAGTGTTTTTCATTTTTATCCCACTTATACCTTAAAGCCAAATGAATTAACAAGTTAATTAATTGAAAGAAATTGCAGCCAGAAGAGAAGGCCAAATAAACACCAGAAAATAATTGATAATATATTTTATACAGGTATACCCTCCAATGGCTCCCAGGAGAATGGCATCAGCTTTTTTAGCTGCTGAAAGGGTTTCCTCTGGCAGTGGAACACCAGTCAAATCCAAAGCAGCTCCACCCATTGGCATCTCTTGGAAGCTAAATTCAATCCCTGATACATGCCAAAACAAATATAGGTAATGAAGAAAGTCCACCATATCAAATCAAAATCTTTTCTTAGTAAATACACAAACTCTGAAACTATTGGATAAAAAAAAATTAAATCAAGCAACTCAATTGGGAGAATATTAGCTAAAAACTTATTTATGTTTTATTCGGCCTCTATTTTATCAGCAATGGATAGATGAGGGCAAAGGGAAAGAAAAACAACGATATGGTATTTCTTCAATTAGTGATAAATCTAAACATCATGAAACCAAATTAACTACTACTACTAGAAATCAGCTGCTATTCATATTATGTACTGCATTTATAAAAAAGAAAAATCATAATCATAAAACTTTTCATTTTCTTGGCCAGCACATACACTCAAATACTTATACTGTTATATATCTAAACCAATATAAGTGCATTTTCTGAGTCTGGGTCTATCAGTAATCTTTTGCTTAGATTTCATTGTCTGAGTTCAACTCACAGTTCAAATCCATATTTTATCGAGAATTTCAGTTTGTCACATCTGCGAGCAATTGTCCAACAACGATCCACCACAAAACAAAACTATATTTGATTAAAAATAATAAATAACTGAAATTTAGTAATACACATTCAAAAATAATTATTAGTTTAATTTTGAAATATTCAACAAATATTAATTCCAAAGCAACAACCGCTAAATGCATTTCAAAAAGCAGAAACTTTGGTACTACTATAATACCATAACCCTTGCCTTTTTCTTTTCCGTAATTTTGATTCACTTTCTCAGTAACCAAACAGAAAGCAAATAAAAACAGAAAAGAGAGAAAGGGAGAAAAGAAAGGGAACCTTCGAGAGAGCCAGCGAGTTTGAGGACGTTTTTGGTAACGAAGATGATTTCAGGGCCGATACCATCGCCGGGGAGGAGAGTGATGCTGTAGCGTTTGGTTGGTGTGGCGGCCGCGGCGGCGCAACTGATCCTGCTCGGTTTCGGCCACTGTTTGTGAACGGGTGTCAGGTTGAACGGAGCTTTGATGGAGCGGACATTAAGCTGAATAGAAGCCGCCATTTGGTGGAGAAAATAAGAGTAGAGAGAGCTCTCTTGCAGAGCAGTCAATTTTGAGTCTACGGGTTAGATAGTTTGGTCGTGACCAGTTTGTTTGATAGGTAAATATTTTTTGTTGAAGAATTGTGTCACGGCATAACAACAAACATAGAACATCTATTTCATATGATACGTTACAGAACAGAAATAAGGTGTAATAACTATTTCACATGAGAAGGTAGAGTAGCTCAGAATAAGTGGATGAGTTTATTAGTTATTTTTACATTTAAGTTGTTTTAAAGAGTTTAATTTAGGGACTCATATATAGAGATAATTAAAAAAAAAATTTCTTCATATATGTGTTTTACCTTTTTTAAAAAAAATAGAATGCATGTAGTGCACTATCAAGTGTCACTACTTTATTATCAAATTTATGTTCACTACCTAACTACATGGTCATTCTTTTAATATCTCATAAGTAGTTCATACTCTTCTATAACAAGCATATTCTTTCATATTTAAACTTCATATCCAATAAATCATTCTTTAATGTGCTTTTTCTTGACTAGTATGTTCTCTCGTAATTGAACATGTTCTCCTAACAGCTTTTCAAAAAACATTCTTGTTTAGTATAAATATGAGAATCTTGGAGGTTGAGGGCAATAAAAACGAATCATAGATTTAGCAAAAAATATTCTCAAAAACTCTCTCAAAGTTTTTCCAACTATTTTCTCTACTTGGCTATTTACATCTATCATACTCCGCAACTTTCTTGACCTTTTCTTGTTCTTTACCACCTACCACTAAAGCATTTACACTTCAATGACCACTTCAATCTTCCTTTCTGCCTCCTATAACGCATTTCGCTTCATTCATTGCAACATAGTTTCTCTCTCTACCAAAAAAACCCTTTATATTTTGGCAGCTCCACTAGAAAGGAGTGATTGTAGGAAGTGAAAAAGTTGCTAAAACATTTCTTCTCAAAAGATATGGAGAGTTTTCCAGACAACCAAGAAACACCCACCCCAACTTATGTTCAGGAGCTCATGAAAATGCTCTCAGCTTCTTAAGAAAAGATGCAAGTGTTGGAGGAAAACAACAAGTAAATGATGGAAACCATCACCCAGTTTGCATCCTCAACTGTCACAAATTCTCAACCTCAATCAATGCCAACCCATAATGGTGAAAATGCTGCTCATGCGGTTAACAGCACAAACGAAAATGGAGGAAATGGAGAGAACACAACTGACCCACTCCTCAACACCACCAATCATTCTATTATAGGGAACCCATTGTGATAACCCCTTCAACTAATGCTCAAAGCTTTGTTACAAAGGAAGAACTTGAGAAGTTGCTCGATCAGAAGAACACGAGTCTCAACTTTTCAAAGTTTAATCTTAAGGTACCCTATTTTGCCAACATAGCTGTCAAGCCATATCCCAAAGATTACACCAGCCAAAAATTTATGCAATTCAATGTCAAGACTAGCGACACTCGAGAACATGTCATGAAGTTTGAGGAGACCCTTGGAATAGCGAGATTGGACGATGATTTGAAGTTAAAGGAATTCTCCAAGTCTCTCACTAAAAAGGCCTACACCTGGTATGTCAATCTCACTCTTGGTTTTGTGCAATCATAGGTTTAAATGTTAGGATGTTAGGGGAAAAGTTCTTCTCTACCAAAGAAAAAGTTCTTCTCATTGATTTGGGAAGAGAGCATCAAAATTTAAAGGAAGATCTCATGAAATACATCTAATGCTTTAGAAAAAAGATGCTAGACATACAAGATTCCCATGATGAGAAAGAGCTAGTTAAAGTCTGTAGCAAGGTATGTTCGATGAATATAAGGTGCATTTGGAAAACTTACCTCTTCTTACTTTTGCTATTTTAGTCGAAGCTATTTGGCAGACCAACAATACGATTGTTAGGCAAAAGGGAGATAATTGTTTTGAAGGGAGAAATACCCTAATAGTAAATATAATTCAAGGAAGATGCAAAGAAAGAAAAGACCATCGACCTCCTCTACGTCCTAAAAGAGACAATTTAAGAAAAAAAGAAGAAGATGAGATTGATTCCCCACCACCATTCTCAATCCCACTGAATAAAGTGAGAGCACTTCTCCATGAATGGATAAAAGATGGATAAGTGAACTTACCATATAGTTCACAATCACCAATAACAAAAGAAAAGTCCAATCCAAGGTATTGTGACAATCACCATACAGTTGGTCATTCATTTGCTGAATGTAGAGATCTATGCAAAATATTTTATAAGAAGGTGTAAGTAGAAGATATAATGATTGGAAACAACATGATCTAGAACAACCTGTTTCCCGCTTATCCATGAAATGTTTATGATTTCTACTACTGATTATTTCATGTATTCAAAATTTGATATTTGCAAAAGAGAAAAGTTATCTTTCAACCGCAAGCTTTAGCACTCTTACTTCAGCCGTAATGTTATTTTTTCACTTGATCACAAGTTCTATCGCTCATTCTTTGACCATATAATTCATCACTTATTTTTCAGCCACATGCTTTATCACTTTTATTTTGGCTATAATGTTATTATTGCACTCGGTCACAAGCTTTATCACTCATTCTTTGACCGTATAATTCATCACTCATATTTCAATCGCAAGTTTTATCACTCTTACTTTGATTGTAATGTTATTGTTGTACTTGGTCGTAAGCTTTATCGCTTATTCATTAACCATATAATTCATCACCTATATTTCAGCCTCAAGCTTTAACGTTTATAATTTGTTTATAATGATATTATTCTATTGGTCGCAAACTTTATTGCTCACTTTTTGGCCATAGCTTGCTATTCACAAATAGGTCGTAGCTTTAAACTTTCATATAAATGATGTGTTATTCTTCTTCATACTAGGTTGAGGATTATTCTTCTTAATGTGAAGTTGAGAATCCTTTTTTGGCCACACATAGTGATACAAGTGAAACATTCATCTATATGCAATGAGTGAAATATGGAATAGAGTATCTTAGTTTACAAGTGAAGAAATAAAATCATGAAAAAGTAAAATTAGCGTTTACTATGGAAAACAAGTCTAGAAAAGAAGAATAAGAACAAGATCTTCAAAGGGGAAGAGGATTTATCATTCTCAAAATTGGAAAGGTTGTATAATCTTCTTAGCAACTCCATCTTTTGATCTCTCACTAAAGCCATCTATACGCTTCAAAAGTTCCAAGTGCTGTGGCAAAACTTGAATGCCATGAAAGTCTTCCAAATAAATGTCAAAAGCATTAAGATTATGTTTTATCATTGGAAAAGACGACACATGAAAATAAGGAGCATTGCAAGTTGTATTCAAAACACCCTAAAAGAAGAAGAAGTATTGTAAGTTGTATTCGAAGCACCTTAAGAGAAAAAGAAGCGTTATGAGTTATATTTGGAACACTTCAAGAAGAAAAAGCATTGTGAGTTGTATTTGGAACACCCCAAAAGAAGAAGAAGCATTACGAGTTATGTTTAGAACATTTCAAGAAAAAGAAGCATTGCAAGTTGTATTCGAAGCAGTCTAAGAAGAAGAAACATTACAAGTTGTATTCAGAACACCTTAAGAGAAAAAGAAGTATTGTGAGTAGTATTCAAAACACCCCTAAGAGAAGAAACATTGATGGAATGGCTTTTATCTAGAGCTGTTTCACTAATGATAGCCAATAGATGTACTTGGATGTATATCCATTTGTTTTGCATGCACCATTTTCCTGAAGCTATCCTCTCCCTTTTCCCTAATGACACCATCGTCCCAATTTTTAGGTATAAGAGAGCAGCCTTACCAAGTTCACCATAATGAAATTTTAAGCTAAAATGAGTCTTGGCCATACGATGATGCAGCAAAATTCCCACAAGCATGAACGACAAAGACAACTAGATAAGTATTCATGTATTATCATTCCTATCGATGCATTATTATATCCTCCAAATTACAATAATATTCTATTAATTGTTTTTATCTTTGCCTTATGTTTGTTTCTTCCTATCTTTATGCCAAACAAAAACAAATAAGTATATATATATATATATATATATATATAGGTTAAATACCCAAATAAGTCTTTGAACTATGCCAAAAAAATCAATTTAGCCTTTATCCTTTTATTGTGTTCAATAAGCCCTTGAACTTTTATTTTAGATTAAATAAGCCATTTTCCCTAACCGTTGACTAAATTCTGTTAGTCAATGGTACACGTGGCGCTTTTATATCACATCATCTACCACATGGCAAGTTGATGTGACATTTGATTATGTCATTGCCACATGACAAATGATGTGGCATTAAATGTTGTTGATTAGGATTTGTGTGCTTACCTTTTTACTTATACACATGTCCAAAAATGATTGATTAAGGATTTAAAATAAAAAAATAAAAAAAACTAATTACTTCTTCATCTATTGAACAAACGTTATTTTCCTAAACAAACTAAATCATCTAATTTAGGGTTTAAGAAAAAAAGACAACAAATTGAATTCAAAACAATTTAAAGTCTTCAACCTTCGATTTCTTGAATTTACATGTCTTTCAATCATCATTAGACATTGCCTGGCAACTAATGAACATATAAAAAGTGAAGCTGAAGAGAAACATCCATGTCAAAAGAGAAAATTGGATTACCTTTGGAAATCAAGGTCTGATGCTTTAAGAAACTGCGCTTGCCAACGACTAAGTATTGTTAAGCTCATTAAGAAAAAGGAAACATTCAAAGCCAGTGTCAACAATATTCTTGTTTTTTTTTTTAAATAGCTGATGTATTATTCACATGTAAAAATGAGGGAGAATCTCCTTTAGAATACAGCAAAGGCTATGGATTACAAAAAAGTTCCATAGCAACCTATATCCATCAAACCACCATAATCCAAAACAAGCTAAAACCACCAAAAGCGCAAAGCCACAAAACACAACCTCTGTACAAACACCTTATAGAATGATACGGGGAAGACAAATACATGATTTATTTTGTTATTTGGGATTAAACCTAAATCGGATGGTTTATTTTGTTA